TGGGACCTCTAGGGTGTTACTATTTATGGACCTTAAGGTCCTCCGTGGGGCATAACGGGAGAGGCGGTCCCGTAGGTACGAGGGTCCTAGGCTGTAAGCATATCCGTACCCTTGATCTGCTGCCTGCAGGAACCCTCTCATCAAGACTTGGGGATCATCTCCCCAGCTACTCACCTTGTGTTGCTGTTTCCCTGGGTAGACAGATGTGGTCAAAGCTGAGCAGGGTTCCTCTCTGATGGTCTCACCTTTCCTGGACAGCTGTTATATAGGCCATTGGCAGAGATGGTGTAATACCTAGGTGAGATAATTGCTTTGAGGAAGTCCTGGCCCAGAGTCTCCAGTTTTGCATAACCAAAGACTGAACTTGTGGAAAGCGGCTTTTATCGCTGTTCATCAGCACTGCAGTAAGGACATCGTGCATTGAAATTTTTCTTTAGATGGGGCAATGTGTATTGAAAAATGTCTGGCCTTTTCAATCTGTACCCAAATTGGATGGGGAAAGAACATTCAATATCAACCATGAAAACACGTGCTCCTTTTCTTAAGCTTCACACCCCAGGTAGCTGACTGGTCGTCTTCCATCAAAGTGATAATAATAAAATAAAATCCCTGCATGTAGAAGGTCTTCACATCAAAGGAAAAGAAATTAGTCTGTACTGTAGCCTGACATGTTATTTTTTAATCTGAAGTGTTCTCTTTCTCTCTTCTCTCTCCCTTCACCCCAGTTTGATATTCAATTTATTTATTGCTCACATTTTCTCAAGGGAACTCAAGGTAGCATACAGCAATTTTTGCAGGTATTTATTCCATCTCTGCAGGGACCACACCTAGACTACTTCAACAAGGTTGCTGTGTTTTGGACCTTCAAACCGCGCATTGACTTGCATTCAGTTGCATATTTATTTATTTACATTGCTCCTTTGACTTTATTCTGCCATGGAACCCAATGTGCATTGCATGTGATTTTTAGGTGGTCACCCATCCGCTCACTGTCCGAACTGAGACCTGCTTAGCTTCAGCAAAGTGGTAGCCTCATGTGCCTCTTGGAAGGGAAGGGAGCATCTTCTATGCCATGCACTTGCAGGTTAGCGAAAGTTTTTAAAGGGTATATGTTGCCCCTAATTCTCAACAAAAGACTGGGGTGGGGGTAAGCAGAAGGGGGCTGGTCTCCATACCTTTTGTGACAGCTCCTCATTTTTATTTGTATTTCTTTCTTTTTTAAAATCATTTTTATTGGTTTTACCAATACAGAGTACAAATAAACACAAACTAGTAAAAATATATCTGTATAAGGAGATTCTCCGAATCTTGAGACTTCCCCCCATCCCCTCCATGGAGTCTACAACTGCATATTCATCCGTACTCCAATTTTTATATCAAACCTTATTGTCCATATTGTTTTTCCAACTACAAGTGAGTCAAAATCCTGCTCTTGTTTCCATCTGCTTATAGTGATCTCCTAATCAACTTACAAATTTTTCCCATTCTTTTATAGTTTTTATCTTCTTGGTTTCTGAGTTTTCCAATCAGCTTTGCCTTCTTGGCATAGTCCATCAGTTTGGTTTGCCATTCCTCTCTGGTAGGGACTTTGTCTTCTTTCCAGCTCTGGGCTAATAACATCTGGGTGGCTGTTGTTCCATACATAAAGAGTATCTTCTGCTCCTTTGGTATGTCGGTACCTGTAATTCCTAATAAAAATGCTTTTGGTTTCTTAACAAAGATTATTTTAAGCATCTTTTCATTTCATTATATACCATCTCCCAGAAAGCTTTTCTGGACCTTACTAGTCCACCACATATGATAAAAGGTACCTTCTTTTTCTTTACATTTCCAGCAGATATTTGAATTTGTCTTATACATTTTTTGCTAGCTTTGTAGGAGTCAAATACCACCGGTACATCATTTTTATATAATTTTCTTTCAATGTACAACATGCCGTAAATTTCAAATCTGATTTCCAAAACCTTTCCCAATCTGCCATCTGGATATTATGTCCCAAGTCCTTTGCCCAGTGTATCATTACTGACTTGACCTTTTCATCTTTTGTGTGCCACTCTAAAAGCAAGCTTTACATTTTAGATAGTACTTTAACCTTAAAGGTAAAGGTAAAGGGACCCCTGACCATTAGGTCCAGTCGTGACTGACTCTGGGGTTGTGGCGCTCATCTCACTCTATAGGCTGAGGAAGCCGGCGTACACCTTCCGTGTCATGTGGCCAGCATGACTAAGCCAGAACCAGAACCAGAACCAGAGCAGCACATGGAAACACCGTTTACCTTCCCGCCGGAGCAGTACCTATTTATCTACTTGCACTTTGACTTGCTTTCAAACTGCTAGGTTGGCAGGAGCAGGGACTGAGCAATGGGAGCTCACCCTGTCGCGGGGATTCGAACTGCTGACCTTCTGATCAGCAAGTCCTAGGCTCTGTGGTTTAACCCACAGTGCCATCCGTGTCCCTTTAACCTTATTTTCTAACAAATCTTTTTGAAAAATTGAAATACCAGTAAAAATATTGATATTTCACAACCAAAACCTTTCTTTTTATCTATCCCAATTAAACAATATGTTTAAGATGAAAGGTTTTAGTTGTGAAATATCAAGATTTTTATTTGTATTTCATTTTTCCCAAGGCTAGAGCAGAGCATGGTTTGGATAAAACTTAGACGGTCAGAAGGTGGAGCTAGGAGATTTTCTTAAGGGGTTCTCTACCTTTCCCCTCTGCTGCCAGAAAAAACAACAACAGCAAAATAGGGACAAAATATGGGCAGCGATTTAGCAAGGAGCCAGAAAACAGGGGCTGTCCTGAAAAAAAAAGGGGGACAGGAGGACATGGTGATATTTCCGCTTTCTAAGATGGCATCTGGAAGCTGTGTTTACCTGAACAGGATGTGAAGAGCATTAGGTCATTGTAACTACGCACTTAATGTTTTAAATGTCACACATCAGACACTTGTAGTGATGATTCCTTGATGCTGCTCTTCTTAGGAAGAGCTCAAGGACATGCACACGTGTCTCCTGGATCATCTGCTCCTCCAGGCAGCGTATTGGGTCAGATCTGCTTAATGTCAACAGAAGAATGGTGCCACCTGGCTGCAATTAATTATATTATTACAGTGTACACAACCGCCCCGTAAGGGAGGCAAGATAGATAGACAATTTATTACAGTCAAAGACCAGCTCACGTAACATAACACAATAAAAACAGCGTTCATAAAGATAAAATATACAATCGGAGCAGATTGCAGCAATAACTCATGAGTTAAAATTGAGATATATACATACACCCGTACAACAGAGATTTGGGCTACCATAAAAAATCGACCCTGAGGCACCCCAAAGGGCGACTTCAGCATTTCCCTAGTACAGTCATACCTCGGGTTACATATGCTTCAGGTTACATACGCTTCAGGTTGCAGACTCCGCTAACCCAGAAATAGTGCTTGAGGTTAAGAACTTTGCTTCAGGATGAGAACAGAAATTGCGCGGTGGTGGCGCGGCGGCAGCGGGAGGCCCCATTAGCTAAAGTGGTGCTTCAGGTTAAGAACAGTTTCAGGTTAAGTACGGACCTCTGGAATGAATTAAGTACTTAACCCGAGGTACCACTGTAAGCTATTTTATTCTAGAGGATGATCTGGGCGCAGAATCTGGCTACCAGCCAGGTCGTCTTGTGATCTTTGCCTAAGAGGAGAGAATTAAGTTTAGACTTGTCTGAAAGATCGGCGAGCCTTTCAGCAAAGGATCAATGGTGTCTCTATGGATCTCAACATAAAAAGAACCTCTAAAAATATATATGTTTGGGGCTTCCTAATGGGCAGGTGTAAAGTCTCTGTGCGTATGGGACTCTTCTAGAGGAGCCTTCCAGAACCGGTGAGGGCAAGGCTGAGCTTCTAGCAAGAGTAAAAGCCCTTCTTGCGTTTCTGGATGTGAGGAAATAGAGATATGTTGCTAGAGCGGCTACGTATCTCCCGTTTTCTATGATTTTATAATCAGGGACCCTTGTACAGTCCTGTGGGAGGCAAGATCCTAATCCCTTTGCGTGGCCTTTCTGGAGCAAACTTGCCTCGGGAGCTGGTATAACATAGTAGCAAAAAGTGAGCCACATTTCTTTCCAGGTAACCTTCTAAGGGCCACATGGCAGTGGTGGGTAGGGGCATAGGCAATAAGGACTGCGAACAAGTGTTTTGATGGTTGATTAAGAATATGGTTCCTCTTCCTCTTCAGAAGGAAATAGATTCAAAATTCTCTCCCCCCTTCAATATGCTTTTCCCCATCAAAATGAAGGAGAGGTTGATGCCCTTTCTGCAATGCTCAGGGCTAGTGAAACAAATGACATTCCACTGATTTGGCCTTAAATTATGCAAAACTGAAGGCATCGGACCAGGATTTCCTTGCAGCATCTTGCTCATCTTGGTATTGCACCACCTCTGTCTGGGGTCTATATAACAGCTGCCCAGACTAGGTGAGACCATCATAGAGGCACCTGGCTCAGCTGACAACCACACTTGTCTACCTAGGAGAACAGCATCACAAGGTAAGTTCTGGGGAGGTGATCCATAAGTCTTTGTGAGTGAGTTCCTGCAGAGTGTAGAGCGAAATGTTTTCAAAATCTCTGAGATATGATGGTGGACTCTTCGGTGAGGACTTCTGTCTCAGAAGGTGGTGGACTCTCCTTGGCTATAGGTTTTTGACCAAAGACTGGATAACCACCCACCAGGGATGATGTTGTAGTGGATCTTATGCCTCTGCAAGGTGTTCAATTAGATGACCTTGGAGGTCCCTTCCAGCTCTATGACTTATGGGAAACGTGGCAGGAAGTCTCAAATGATTTTTTTATGTCCCAGCCAGTAAGTAAAGCATTGATGAACTTAGAAATTAGTATAGTATAGTATAGTATAGTATAGTATAGTATAGTATAGTATAGTATAGTATAGTATTCACTAAATGCACCTTTTGAACATACTCTTCTTCCTCCCATCTCTACTTCCTCCCATCTCAAAGGTCAACCAGAAGATGGGACTCTTCACGTATTTCAGTCTATGCCTTCTGGGCATCCTGGTCTCCAACCCTTTCCTGGGAGGTGAGTTTCCTTTGCAAATACTGATATTATATGACCAGTTAAGAAGTGGACTTGGGTGAAAAGCAACTTTCTTCAAATGCCTTTAGTTGGCCAATTCAGTCTTTCAGAAAGATATCAGAAACCTTAGTCACAATTGAGCAGAATTTCAGACAAATGTAGGTGTTTCATTTTCAAGTAACGGCAATCCACTAAAATCTACTAAACCTCTGGCTCTTTAGAATGGGGTGGCTTGAACTGGGCTCATGTTAACAAGGATAAAAAATAATCTGGGCTTGTTCCGTGGATCACATTGAGTAACATCCCTAGAGACAAAGTGGTGAATCAATTTAGCACTTTTAGGGCCTTTAAATAAGAGACTCTGGGTGGGCAGAAGGTTGCTCATAATCTAGGAGGAGGTTTCTGGGTGATTTGCAGACAAATCCGTCAATTTTGGCTCTCCAAGTTTCTCATTTCCCCAATCTTAAATGCAGTCCTCCACATGCCTGCAACAATTTGCAACCTTTTTTTAAAACAGGAAACAACCATCATGAAAAAAAGTATCAATATTTTAGTGTCCATTTCTCCCAATGAACAAATTCTTAAATGCACTTTCGACTACCACACACACTTCTGCAAGGCATTTCTACTAATGTAATGCATTTTGTATGTTATTTTCACCCATCTATGCAATTTTAACACATACTTTACCCCAGTATATGCATTTTCGATACATGTTACTCAACTGCAGAACTGCACTGAAAAATTCAGAAGAATGCAAATTTCAAAGGATGACTGAATTTTGGTTTGCACGTTGGTTGAGAAAATGTGAATCGGGTGGATTCGCTTTTAAATGCAAACCTGGTTGAATTTCTCCCTCGTCTCTATTTGCAGTAGATGAGCAAAGTTTCCAGGCTCCAATTCTTTAACAATCCCAGTCACTTAAAGCTTCCCTCCCAGCCTGGAATTAGGTGGTTGAAAAAGAACATTTTTTGGGAAAGCCAGAAGCGAAAGAGCTTGTGAGCTAGGGACTGATCTCAAACAGATGCACTGAGCATATGTTCAGAGGCAACCTGTCCATGCCACCTGTGGCGTAGCTCAAGCTGGCTTTTCTTTCTTTAATACCGTGGGGGCTGCTGCTTATTGGGATTGGCAGAAGGGAGGTGGAGTCAGAGGTAATGGTACATCCAGAGCCAATGAGAGGCAGAGACAAGGGATGCTAGTTTTGCCTCCGTCCTCCTTCCTGCTGAGTTCTACAAGGGGCAACTCTGAGACCAGGGAAGAGGAAGTTGACTGCCAGCGCCACCTACTGGTCAGGGTGTAAGAGGGCAGGCAGGTGGGGGCTGGCGAAGGGCAGACTGAGGTTGGGAGGGCAGTGCCCTAATGGACCAGCATCTACTGCTTTAAGGCAAAAATGCTTTGGAATATCTGCTGACTTTTCCATGCTTCTTTCCTTTCTACCCCCTTGTCTCCATGCAGCTGAGGCCGACACCTGCGCCAGGGAGTGGCTGCAAAACCAGGGCAACTGCTATGCATATTTCGACAATAAGTTGAGCTGGCACGAGGCTGAGGTAAGAAGTGTTTCTCAGCCACCCAGATGTGATATATATAAGCTGTATAAGTCAGCTTCCCAGTTCCCATTTCAGGAGTTTGGCTGGAACAAGGGACGAGGAAGAAATTTAGGCCCTGTCTGCTCTATACTTTGAAATAGTCATGGGTTCACCAAATAATCATGGCAAGCGTCGTTTGCGTCGTTAGGATACTCTATTCCCACCACAGATATGTAATTTTCAGAATGGTTTATCAGTCAATCCGTATCTGGTGATTCTTTTTTTTGTGTGGAAATAATTTTTATTTGATTTTACTAGTATAAGAATATAACAATACAACCACCCACGTCCGTATTGATAGATTCCTTCGAATCTCTGGGCTTCCCACCTTCCCCTTGTCAACCCTTTCAACTGCATGTTATTCAGTGGTCAGTATTTTATACAACTCCATTGTCTCCATAGCGCCGTATTTTTCGCTCTATAACACGCACCCGACCATAACACGCACATAGTTTTTAGAGGAGGAAAACAAGAAAAAAAATATTCTAAACGAAACAGTGGGTGTATGATTTTTGTGGTTCATGCTGTGGCCACAGCCATGTGATCTGACGGTGAGTTTGGGGTAGCCCAATGCAAAAATCCTGAGGATCCATGTGGATCCATGCTTTGTAACCACGTTTTTGCACCACTGCGGCCCCAGGCAACAGTGGGTGCGTGATTTTTTTGGTGCAAGCTGTAGCCATGGACATGCTATGTGATCTGATGGTGAATTTGGGGTGACCCAGTGCAAAAATCCTGAGGATCCATGTGGATCCGTGCTTTGTAACCACGTTTTAAGTGGGGAGGGAAGGAAAAGCACTCAAGGGACAAGGAACGCGCGTGGGGTGGGTGGAGAAGGATGCTGTTAATAATGCAGAAGAGGGGTATAAGAGGAGAAGGCTCCTTTCCCGCTTTGCTCCTTTAAAGCAAGCAGGCTCTCTGTCCCTCTCTCCTCCCCACTCAGTGGCTCTTCTCCCGCTTTGCTGTTTCAAAGCAAGCCACGGAGGAGGGAAGGAAGGGGAACCATGGATCCTCTGCTCACGACTGCAGTAGATCCCCCCGCCATCCATAGGCATTCGCTCTGTAGGCATTCGCACAGACATTTCCCCTTACTTTCTAGGAGGAAAAAAGTGAGTGTTATGGTGCAAAAAATATGGTATTTGCTACATTACAAGTGTTAATGCAATCCTGCTAATGTTTTCATCTGCTTACAGTGGTCTCCCGGATAAATTATAATTCACCCCCCACTCTGTTAAAGTTTTGGTCTTCTTGGTTCCTGAGCTTTCAGGTCAATTTTGCCCAGAAGACCACCTCTGGCAATTCTTGTTCTGTGAGGGAAATAGAGGTCTCCCAACAACTCTCAGCACCCTTACCTGCCAGGAAGCTAGTTGAGTGGCTCTCGCCCATCCGGTGAGCCACGTCTGACCAATCCTGTTGATGGGATATGATCATTGGGGAAGAAACCACCACTCTTTCCTTCTCCATGTTTAGATTGAGTGCCAGAGCTATGGCCGTGGGGCCCACCTCGCCTCTGTCCTCACCAAAGCAGAGACTCTCTTGGTGGCCGAACACATCTCCACTTACCAGCAAGAAATAAGCGACGTCTGGATTGGGCTCCACGATGTCCGTCAGGTAAGCTTGCTCCATTCATTAGCTATCATCACTGAGTAGCAGCTCCACAGCATGGCTGGTGATGCAATGAGGTTGAGGGAACATTCTTTCATATGTGGTGGACCTGTAAAAGGGTAAAAGAGTATTGGGAGATAATGAATTGATGAAAAATGTTTAAAAATACTTTACGAAAAAAACCCAGAGTTCTTTCTGTTGGGGATAACTCAGTCTGAAATTCACAGGTGGCAGAAAAAGTTATTTATGTATGCTAATACTGCGGCCCGTGTTTTGTTAGCCCAAAAATGGAAAACAAGTGAGGTCCCAGCTAAAGAAGAATGACAACTTAAGCTGATGGAATATGCACAGCTTGCAGACTTAACTAGTACAATAAGAGAACAAGAAGAACATTCATTTAAAGAAGATTGGAAAATGTTTATTGAATATATGGGGGGAAACTGTGTACACTTGAAAACGTTGGTAGCGTTAAGATAGATTCAACAGTGTAAATAAGTTTTGGTGGATGTAATAATGGAATACTGAATGGTTTAGTTTATATAAAATATAGAGGGATTGATGATATGCAAAATGAACCATGGAAAGAGAAGAAGGGAAGTCACTGATATTTTAAGGATGTTTAAATGGGTATTCTAAGTTGTAAAACAGAATATATATATATATATATATATATATAAAAAAGCATGGCCGGTGACAAGGCTTGATACAGTTGGGCATCCACCAAGGGCCCATACCCAAGTGGGAGTGGCCCATCCATAAAAGCCTCCTAAACCTGTCCTTCCTTTTCATCACTGCAACTTGCTTGTTCACCTGCCTCTCACTCTAACCCAGGCAATATTGGTGGTTGAGGAAGGGGAGCAGTAAATGACACTGCCTGCTTGCCCCTTGGCTTTCTGCTTGGCAAAACAAGCAGGTGGCAAGTGGCAGCGGATGGGAATAGTGGTGAGGAGGAGAGGTGTCTATGATGGACGTGGCTTTGCCCAAGGGTTCCCCCAAATCAGAAGCCAGCACAGCTCCTTAGTAATGGCATCCCTTCCTTATCTCACAACTCTCCCACATGTTGCTTCTCCATTGCTTTCTATGGGTGTCTGCATCACAGCTGATAACAGCTCCCCATTGGCCAACCTACCCAGTTAATCTTGCATTGGTGTCATCCCAACAGTATCTTCCTTCTTTCTGGGCCCTTCATTGCCCGTGTCACATGATCTGTTCTGTCTCTTTTCTGCAGACCCGGAAATGGAGGTGGGCTGATGAATCCACCTACAATTACAAGTCCTGGATGATAAACCAGCCAGACAACTACCGCAATGCTGAACACTGTGTGGAGCTGCGTCGATCCACGGGTAAGCAATCCATTCTCAGGGTCTGGAAAAGGACAAGGATGTGTGGCCAGTGTGGTTCTTAGCGAGCTGGCAAAGTCTGACAGCCACAGTTTTGAGCCAGGTTCACACGTTGCATTCTTGACCCACCAGACCAAGCAATGGCAAAAACGTCTACAGTACACCAGTCAAAACTGCGTATTAAAAATGGGTTTGGTAGGAGAAATTCATGGTGAAATACTGGTGAATTTTCATAATGGTTTTGACAACAATTCACTGCACAGTGTGGCAAACGGAATTTAGGCATGGGAATACAGGGAAGTGAACTTAAAAGTGGAAAAATGAGACACCAAGAAAACTGAAGTCGACAGATCCTGCCATCCCTAGTTAATTGTCCTGAAATGAAAAGGGTTTTAAGCAGTGGTAGCTGGTGTATCCATTGGGACTGGCAGAGTGCAAGGCAGGAAGGCCCAACTAATTCTAGTCCCCCCACAATCCCTGTTGAGTTATGCAAGGTGTTATGTACTGAGTTGAATAGGATCCAAAAGGCAGCAGTCTGATTGGTCCTAGAACAATAGGATTCAGAATGCAGTAGTCTGATTGGTCCCCAGGAGCCACCCAATCCAGTTTCAGGTGGAAGTGAATCCACAACCTGATTGGCCTACAGGTGAATCCCGGAATTAGCCAATTACGTGGGGCCCATTGTGTAAATAATGTATATAAAGCAGACATTCTGGGGGAACTTCCATTCCTCCTCACCACTATGAGCTGAATAAAGAGCATGAAATCCACTCTCGACTCCGAGTATATTTCACAAGGGCAGACTAAGGAGGATGCAGCTGACAGCCACAGCTACCCTCTGGACTGGTTTCAAGTAAGAAGGCACATTTGGGAGTTGGCTGAGGCCAGGACAAAGATGGTGGGGCAGTGCCCCATTTGCCCTAATGGACCAGCCCACACCTTTTTTAAATAATTCAGAAAGCAGAACTAGTTTGGATTTGGGGGGGGGGTACTAGTTTCCTTTGTTTTGAACCCTAGAATTATTTCTATCATGCCCCTCTAAAAAACCTTTTACAAACATGAGGACTAGAATCATTACTTTCGATCATGGAAAGCCAAAATTTCTAAGTGGTTGGCAATATACTACAAGCCACTGACCTATCTGTGCCAGAAAGAAGAAGTAACACCTGCCTTGTCTTTTCTTTTTTGCATTCTAGACTTTAAGCAGTGGAACGATGCTCAGTGCAAGAAACGCAATGCCTACATCTGCAAGCACGAACTCTAGAGAAGACTGGAGTTTTCCCTTTGGGCTTGCTGGGATGTGCCTGGTTCAACTGCAGCGAGAGAGATCTGCCATTCAACACACCCTCCAACCACCTCCATTCAAAACATGCATCTCAGAAGAATTATCTTGTGTGGGCCTCTCTCTTCTCCTGCCTTTCATTAATGGTCACAGCACAGTGCAGTCTTAATAAACTATCTACCTTATGCATAACTATCTTGGCATGTTTCTGTTATTGTAGAATGATTTCAGTCTCCTTAGGCTGCTGGGTAGAAAGGAGGGCAGCAGAGGCTCCACTCGACCATTTGTGCAGAAGGCAGAGTTTCAGTAGGTACGTCTCCGAACTCTGCATGAAATTCCAGCTTTGCTACAGCTTTTCAACCAAGGGCGGGGAACCTTTCTTGATCCAATGGCCACATAGGAAACCTTTCTGGGGCCACAGACCCCTTGTGGATGGTGCCAGAGGTACCAATGGGCACCAATTCTTACCTTTGTCTGGTAGACTACATCCCAGCTATGTAAGAGTCAGATGCTTCTACACTCAGCCACTCACACCTTTAACCTTGACTTGGACAAGCAAGAGTTTCCTTCCTTCCATACATTCCTTGCACACCATAAAGGACTTTAAAAGGTCATAGGACACGGTGGTGAGGGGTGTGGCCTCAGGAGAGTCCTGAGGGACAGGTGGAGAGGTCTAGCGTCAATTTATTTATATATCCACAAGTAAATCTCTGCTCAAAGTGGTTCACAGAAAAACCAAAGTCTAAATACAGTGGTACCTCTGGTTACGAACTTAATTCATTCCGGAGGTCTGTTCTTAAGCTGAAATCATTCTTATCCTGAGGCACTCTTTCACTAATGGGGCCTCCCGCTGCACACATGCCTCTGGTGCGTGATTTCTGGTTGCATCCTGGGGCAAAGTTTGCATCCAGGAGCAGTTTATTTCTGGGTTAGCGGAGCTCATAACCTGAAGTGTTCGTAACCAGAAGCGTTCGTAACCAGAGGTACCACTGTACAGTATTAGACTAACAATACCAGAAACTGCAACGTAACATGAAAAACAACAACAATGATCAACAATTAGACATATCTAAACATTTAACTAAAGCATACAGCTTACTAATACGTCAGTGCAAATTGTCCTTTAAGCAACTCCTTTTTGAAGGCTCCTAGGGTTGGTGGATGGGGTCACACTGGTGAAACCAACCACCCCCTGATGGCAGCCGCAGAGTTTCTCTCCCCTCTCAGTTGTTCTTCTGGCAACGGCTCCCTTCTGAAGGCTCCTAGGGGTGGAATGGGGTGGGGGGTGCACAAAAGGCAAGGGGGAAAAGCCATCCCCTGATGACCAACACCTAAAGGGACATATCTGACCCTAGTCTCTGCCACTGTTTTAAATGTATAGGCATTCTGCCCTAATTGGCAGCTGGTGGTCCCCAAGATCCTCTAATATCCTTTCATTTGTATGTATATATATCTTACACGTAATGTTCCCGCATCATTTCTCACATTAAAGGAGCTGCAAGTAGATTTTTTTCTGGAACCAACTAACATGGAAACGAGTGCTAAACATGAGCTATATTCCATTAGTTTTCCAGAAGTGTTATTTGCATTGTGTGAATGCTCAGATATAATGGAGAAATTAACAGCTAGGGAAATGAAACAAAGTGCTGTGTGAATGCAGTGCAGCTTGTAGAATAAACCCACAATCAAACACCAGCCTGGACTCTGGAGGGGTCCATACAGAGGTGTCTTTCCCATAGGGCTTAGTGGTGCGTCGCGCCGGGGCGCTGGCCTCTCAGGGGTGCCCCAGCAAGTGAGGGAGCTGTGTGACTTTGCTGGTGGCCTCCCCTTTCCCTGCACGCCCTCCAGCTGCGCCCCACCAACTATATGGCTGGTGGGTGTGCAGCTTGCCTCCCAAGCCTCCGTGGGGATTGCTCTCCCACAGTGGCATGGGGGTGAGTTGTGCCCCCCATGGCTGGCAGTGTGCAGCTTCGCCCTCCCACTTTCCATGGTAATTTGGGGGCGCTGGGCGGATATTTGCACCCCGGCGCCGCATCTGCTAAAGACGGCCCTGGGTCCATAGCTCACATTTGCTTCCCGTCTGACAGAACACCAGGGGGCGCCATCTCCGGGGGGGGGCTGGGAGCCCAGGCACCCACAAGCAATACCTATGGGGGTGTTAATACTGGGAGCCCCTCCAGCCTATGCTCAGGTTGTATATATGCTTAAATAAAACCATATATCTGAAAGACACCTTGTCTGTGCTGACCGTTATTCCAAAAGGAAACTGAACCCTGGGAAAAGCTCAGGTACTCTCATCGCTTGGAGATTCGGGGAAGTTGTCCATAATGGCATGTTCGCCTCAAAAGTTTTGCAAGTCCAAACAGTCTTGAAAACAGGATCCCTTACAACCAGCCCAATACCATCAGGAGCACATGAATGCACGACAAAAATTGACACCAGGAAGGGCCCACTGTGCATATTTGTGAAGATGCTGAGAACTCAGTAGAAAAAGGGAAGACAATTTTAGCACACACTACTTCCTTTGGTGTTTTTGAACTCATTTCTCTCTGATGGAGAAGATAACCTGAAGGGGGTCAGAGGGCTTGAGGCTGTGGTATTTAGCCCAGTGGCATAGGATACCCAGGCTGATTGGATCTCTTCCTCTGCTACGGCTTCAATCTCAGTACTTGTCCTGTATATTTCAGCATGTGCAGGGCAGTTTAAGCAGGTCCTGTTGAAAGTTTCCGTGAGTATGACTCTCAGCTGCTCACGTCGACCTGTTCAAACCACAATCCCCAGTTGTTTGGGCCTTAGGCCAAGGGGGCATTCAGGTTGAAGGGTATTTTTAGGGACTGGGGAGCTGTTGGGGGATTGTTGCGCACGATGCCAATTTGTCTTGGTTATGTCAACACTAAGAGGAATTTCCATCCACCCAGGGAGTGCTGCATGACATTGTTGGTGGGTTACACCAACACTTTACAGAGTGTTTCTGTCAAGCAGTGAAGTGAAATCATCTGGATTTTGATCTGTGTGAAATTCAAGCAACATTTTTGCATTGCATTGCAGATTTAATTTGAAGGGCTGCTTTTAAAAGCAAATAACAAGAGGAATTGATTGTTTGCTTTTTTGTATTCTATAAGTTGTCATTGCCAGCTGATATCAACAGTAATTGGATGTTTAGTCTTCCAGGCTTGCAGTGTAAGTCTCTTTCCATCCACAAGGTCTTAGAGAGTCCATTTTCACTGATGATCTTTTACTCAGAGATTCTTTAGTTGTGATTCCTTCATTGCAGGGGGTTGGATTGGATAACCTTTGGGGTTCCTTCCAACTCTACAATTCTGTGATTCCTCACACCATAGCATTCTTGATTGAATCAATCTCAGTTTTAAATACAAAGAAGCATTATACCCCCCCCCCCCAATACAACAACATCCCATTGACTGAGCTTGCTTAAAAAATAATCTTTTAAAATAGCCCCTGGCTTAACTTGCCTCTGGCTTGTGCAATAAGCAAACTCGTCCATCATGTGCTGCCTTAACCTTTCTGCTCCAGGTTTCAGCCAGATTCCAACCAGGTCTGGATAAAAGCTGCTGAGAATGAGACAGCCTGAGCAGGACACAGCAGAGGCGGCCATCTGTTGAGGACAACCATCTTGGGAATGAAGACTTGGGTGAGTGAGGACATACTTTTGCTTGTTGATTTGTAGCATACAGGTTAGAGAGTTTCCACATCTTATCTCTTTATTGGATTTGTAAGGGGCAGACATGCCGAACATTTTTGTAAAGAATATTATATATTCTGAGCCATGTGTACTTTCAGAGCTAAACTCTATGATAAACCAGTGTACATAACACTAAGCCATGGTTTATTTAGTTTGATTGTGATTTGTTTGAATCAGTGAACCCTGTCCAACTGACAATCTGTGGTTTGTTTTCTGTCAACAAAACACAATGTGAAGCCATGGTTAGTTGTCGGCTTACAAACCACAGCTTGTTTAAACTATGTTTTGGTGTTATGTCCAAACACACCAGTCTTGCTTAACCATGGTTTGTTTCAGCGCTACACCCCAAAGGCAAGAGCACCTGGAAAACAAATCAAGCTTTGGAGAAGCAAGCTGTGGCATGATTCCTCATGTGTGAGATAGCTCTTGGTTTGTGGAATAAACCATAACTTAGAGCTATGCGTGAACACAGTCAATGCGGCATAGTTGAAAGCTAGAGCTATTCTTGGATAAACTTGGTTCTATTGCATTCTCAGCCATAAAAACCCTTAAGTGACCATGGACCAGTCTCTGTCTCTCACATGAACCTATCTACCAGGGTTTTAGTGATGATCAGGGTGCAATTATATATGACAACCACACGGCCCAACTTAAGCACTGTTTGTTTTCTATAAAGCTTCCTGTTGCCTGTACTTTCCCATTTCTAAATCCTCCAACATGGGAGTAAAAGCCATTTCCCTTTTCTTTCCAGGCCCAGACCCTCCACTATAAGGAAGGCAGAAGCAAATTTGGTAGAGATTCTCAAGGAATTCCAACCTTTATAAATCCCAATATGAACAGACCTCACCTGCACTTCCCAAACTAATGTGAGAATCAAAACCTAGCTTTCACGCTTCTCAAATGTTCTGCCACAGTTCTTTTGACCCCGCCCCAGTCTCCCTACACCTTTAGAGACCTGACAAACTTGGTTTTAGGATGAAAAGTGCAAGCAGGTCTTCTTTATTACTTTTTCATGGCAATTACAGTTCTACCTGTGGCACTGCTGCAATCAAATCATGTTTGGTCCTAAATTGGACATATATACAACTCTGAATTCATCAGGGTGGATGTCAGGGCTGGCCCTATCATTGAGCAGAATGAGGCATTTGCCTCAGGCGGCCAATGGCAGGGAGTGTGGTGATTGGCAGGGAGGTGCTAGAGAACAGCCTTCCCTGTGATTCCTAAGCTAGCTAGCTGCCCTCAGGAAGATGCTGTCCCATCACCACTGTCAAAATAAGATTCAGCTGCCAGTCGAATAAATGTATGTGAAACGGGGGGCCATTTTGTCCTTTGCCTCAAGCAGCCAAATGCCTCGGTCTGGCCCTGGTGGATGTGAGACAAAAGGGAATGATAAATACACCTTGCAGCAATGTGAG